GGCGGAGACCTCCGGGACACGGGTGCCGCGCGGCGCACGCGGTGTTCCGCGGCGAGGAGGCGGCGGCGGTGGCGGAGGTGCTGCGGCGGTCGCTGGTGACGTTTGGCGGGTCGCTGCGGTCCGCGACGCTGCTGGCCGGCGGCGACGCGCTGGCGGGGCACCTGCCGGAGGCGGGCGACGTGTTCGTGGCGGGCCTTGCGGCCGGCGACGTCGCTGCGGTGGCGCGGCACGTGGCGTCGCACGACGGCGTGCGTGTGTTTGTCGCGTTCTCCGAGTTTGCGCTGCTGCACGCCGACTTCGCCGCCGCGTTCGGTGGCGATGCAGGAGGCGCCGACCGCGTTGTGTTTGCGACGAGCCTGCCGCACTGGGGCGACGCGAACCCGACGTCGGAGACCGCCCAGGAGTTCCTCGCCGCTGTACCCAACGCCACGCAGCGGACGCCGCTGGCGCTGATGGGCTTCGCCGCCACGCAGCTGCTGCGAACTGTTCTCCCCCGCATGGGCAAGGTGAGCGCGGAGCGGCTGGCTGACTTCTTCTACAAGAACGTCGCCGTCACCGTGAAGGACATGCAATACGGCCCCTTCGTTAACGGCACGGCGTGCGCTGGGTGCGGCAGGAACTACGGGGCGACGCACATTTCTGTGTGGTCGCTTGCCCGCGCGCTGGACCCAGCCGTGCCCGTGCTGTTCCCCGCCGCGACCCCGACGATGCGCTACGCGGAGCCCGCTGCGCGCGGACTGACGGAGCCGCAGCTGATCGGCACCATCGTCGGCGTCGTGTTTGGCGGCCTGCTGCTTGTGGCCGTGGTGATTGCGCTGCTGCACTTCTGCCGTGACTCGCGCGACAACGCGAATGCGCCGAAGGAGCCGACGGACCCCGTGACGCTCGTGTTCACCGACATCGAGAGCAGCACGGCGCTGTGGGCTGCGTGCTCGGAGTTGATGCCCGACGCCGTGGCGACGCACCACCGCCTGATCCGCGCGCTGATCACGAAGTACCGCTGCTACGAGGTGAAGACGATCGGCGACTCGTTCATGATTGCGTGCAAGAGCGCGTTCGCGGCGGTGCAGCTGGTGCGGGAGCTGCAGCAGGTGTTCGTGCAGCACGACTGGGGGACGGGCGCGCTCGACGAGGCGTACCGCAAGTTCGAGGAGGGCCGGGCGGAGGAGGACGCGGAGGGGTACGTGCCGCCGACGGCGCGCCTGGACGCCGCGGTGTACCGGCAGCACTGGAACGGCCTGCGGGTGCGTGTCGGGGTGCACACCGGGCTGTGCGACATCCGGCACGACGAGGTGACGAAGGGGTACGA